ATCTGTAGCAGCAACGTGCAACCTACCGAGACATAATCTCAAAAGAGAAGATTATCAGGAAATTCTACTTCATCTTGAAAATAAATTTATATTTGGGAGAGACTTCAATGCAAAACAACACAGGGAAGAAAACTGAGCGTGCAATAGAGGCTTTAAATTGTGAGGTACTCTCCACTGGTAAGCCAACTTACTGGCCAACAGATAGAAATAAAATTTCAGACATCTTGATTTCTTTAATACGAAAAATATATCACTTAACTTCATAAATATAGAAGAGGAGTTAGGGATGGACTCAGATCACTCATAATAAAGAGTCCTTTTTATCACTAACTAATAAATCCACTGATTGGAACCTACTCTGTACCTCGACCTTCTTCAGATTCCATAAACTTTTAACAACTACATTCGGAGATGACACAGCGATCTTGGCTAAATACAAATAAATTGACATACATAAACTTTACATATAAGAAAGTATAGTATGTCCCAGTACACATAAATGGTAATGTAGTTCCTTACGCCGACACCGCAAAATATTTTGCAATGATGCTGGATGCCAGATTCAAATGGAAAGCTCACGTTAAGAAAAAAACATGAAGAAAGAAAGAAATTTAGACAACTATTTTGGGTTATTTGCAGAAAATCTACATTATCATTAAGAAATAAGTTGCTAATATACAAGCAAGTACATATTAAAAAAACAAATGCAAGTTTTATTCAAAGATTCCACAAGGAAGTACTAAGATGCATAATAAATGCATGTTGGTACATACAAAACACTAACCTCGGTCGCGACTAGGAAGTGGCGTCGGTGTCATCAGAAATTGCATCATTCGCATCTAAACATGAGAAGAAAATCCCAACATCGAGTCCATCCAGTTTCCCGACAACGAGTCTTCAGAGGATGAAACTATTCGATTTAGTGACCTAGTGACCACTAATAGATCGCTGAATTCAATGATTAACTTAAAGGCTTTGAAAAAATGTAATAGAAAAAGTGAAAAAGCAGTACTGGAACTGTAAACCTTTCTAAACCAGATATTGTGAGCACATTGTACTAAGTTTTGCAAAACTATGAATATCCACAATATTTTCCAAAATTTTGGAAATTATTAACTCTGCTTGGATTTATTTTTTTAGGAGAAATATTTGTATCGTTTTCTGCTTGGAAATAGAAAGTGTTTAAAACTAAAACTTATCGCATCTTCTTACTAATCCCAACATAATCAGGGGCATTAGCTCCAATTGATCGAAAAATCCTGAAAATTCCTCTTGGGAAACTTTTACGAAGTTGAGTAGCTCAAATTATCCTTCACCTTGAAGAATGTTTATTTGGATTAATAACCAATGAAGTCACAAAATATGAGCTACCACATAGTTTCAGTAAAGGTGTAAAAATTGCAGGTAGCAAGTGGATCAAGTGGTGACCTTTTTCGCTTCGAAAAGCTGAAGGTTGAATGGCAAGACTAAGAAGTTTAACAGGGATAACGTTCATCATGTTTTCATTAGTTAGGAAACATTGTCGATGAGCATAAACTTACAACCGATAATATATTTAACGTGGATGAGTCAGGGTTTACCACAGTGGAAAAGAGTCCTGAAAAAGTTATTGCTCATAAAGCGAAACATCAAATAGGACTCATAACAAGTGGTGAATATGGCGTCAATTCTGAAACGTTTCCACCAACATATTAACTAAATCAATGATAACAAAGTAATCGTAGTGCTTAATACACAGCTAAATAATTTCAAGGTTGTTATTGGAATTCAAAGATGAAATAAGATGTTTATATTTCACTTGGAAAACATAAATTTTTATTTCAAATGTGTGGTTTGTGATAGTGGATATTGAGATAACTGTAAAGGCAGTCCTAGACGATGCGTGTATTCGGCGAATATTCGCTATTCGGACACATTCGCGTAGCGTGTGGGAGATCACCTTCGCCGAACATTCGTTTCAAACTTTCATCTCCTCTTGGTTTATCATCTATTTTACGTAAGGTACCTTAATAACAAGAAATTAAAATAGTATTGGTGGCTCAAATAGGATTTTAGCAAAAATATCGATATCGATTTTACAAAAAATCCTGACATGATGGTAAAAATGGAGGTCATTTTCGAAATCAGCACATCAAATGACATAAAAATCAGCTAAAACGTATTGTATTTTTAAAAAACTTAAATTATTGTTAGGCCTGTGAATAAATAATATTTATTTACTAATAAATTCTAAAATAATAATAAAGTTTATTAGTTATTGAACTAATATTTATTATTTAGCTGTCAATTTTTCAAATTTTTCTCTATAGCAGAACATTTGCCGAACGTTTTACGAGGCGAATATTTGCCAAACCATCAAATGGTATGGGAGGTAACGCGAATGTGTAATGCGAATGCTAAATATTTGCGTATTCGCCGAATACACGCATCGTCTGGGACTGCCTTAAGACATGCCAGTAATAAAAACAAACAATCCAATTTGAAAAACAGTTTTATTTTTTTATTTGTTATAAATTGGATCATTTCAAGGAATATGTACGTCATAACAATTCTCAAAGCGACTAATACCATCCGGTATTGAATCGTATATCCTTCAAAATTGTGAAAAATACGGCATTCACGTTCGTTATCCAGAGGCGTATTTTTCAGCACGTTCGAGGGCAGACGCGACGGCGGCGTTTGGATCGATCGAAGCTCGGTCCGTTTGAAAATTGCGATGCCGCTCGACGGCCATTATCAGATTCGTATAAATCGTCCTCGTCTAGTCCGATATCAGTAATTAAGATCGGGCCTCTGTAAATTATACGGAACGCGAACGCCCAACAGCGGCATATTGCGCCCGAAGCGACGCCGATGACGCCCGCGCGGACGCCCGTATTTATACGCGACGCTCGCCGCCGCAAACCTAATTTGCACGTCTCCACTCGAGGGTCACCTCCTATCTTATCTTTGCACGCACGCCTCAACTATGGACATAAATTTCACGTTTTATCGAGGAAAAACGGAAAGAATACTCAAAGAGTTTGCTATCTGGTAATAGCTAAAGGAAAAAAAATCAACTTAAATAGATTTTCTGAAAAAATCGGTTAAATATTTCTATTTTATTCTTCTCATAACTTTTAATTAAAGCTACTAAAAAATTACACCTGTTAATAATGAATGACAGTGAAAACTAAACGCTAATCGTTAAATCCTGGAAGTAACTTCCCTAACTCTAGTTAAACTAAACTTCATACTGGCTCTGTCGTATAAATGTTTTATTGAATAAATAATCCACTGACATGTTCGAGAAAATCACTTTATTAAACGTCCTATATAAATAATTCCATTTTGCAAATACCTACAATTTCAACACTTCAGGATTAAACTTCAGGGTAAATTTTCAAAGTAAATAAATTACGGTACGACCCGTCAATACCTAGTCTTAAAACGAGTGGGAGTAGTTTCGCCATTTTTACGAGCGCGCAATGAAAACTTCGCTGGTAGAAACTTCCGGGCGAAGTTCACTCGACGGTAATTATCGGAGCCCGAGCGCAAGAGGCGACCCTTAATTTAAATGCGGAATGACCGGCCGATAAGAATTTTCCAGAGCCTTGATATCTCCAATTACATCGAATAGGGTCGCGGCCGTCCGCAGCAAAAAAAAAAAAAGAAAAAGAACCGTTGGACCTCCACTTCTGGACGAGTTAAAACTTTCTCACGCTCCGTGAACATTCGCCGGACTTCCTTCGACCTCCTAATTGCTCTGCCACGTCACATTACTGCCGTCGTTTGGTGTAACTTTTTCCCAACATACCCCTTTTGAGAACGACATCTTCCATTACCTAACCATCAGGTTAACAATTACAAAATCAAAAAGTAATCCGTTAGATTGGCAAATTCTTTCAGGAAAAGGAGAGCAAGAAAAAAGGGAAATTCATGAGAAGAGGTTTGCCGAGTACCTAGACTTTTACAAGAAGTTATGTAACGTTTTGCACATCCCTCGGGACGTATATAATAAAGACGTGACGTGAAAATACGGTGGTTGGGCGACGTCGGCGTTGGTCTGATGTGAAAGAATGGAACTCTTCAGGAGGTGGAGGTAGTGTCGGAGGAGAAAACGTCGGGGCGTCCTCTGAGGCGTAGCGCGTTGATTCCGAATCGGCCCATATCTTACCATCAGCTTCACTGGCGGTTGCAACATCGCTGTACCCTCGGGATACCGGGCGGGAATGGAAAATAATGAAGGGAGTCTGCCAAGAGAACGATGGTGCCCCAGGAGGGGATTCCCCTCCCTTTCAATCATTTTTGGGTCGACGAAGACAACTTTTATAACAGGAACGCTAACACACAAGAAGCTTGTAGAGAATTTATTATTCTTATATTTTTTGGGATTTCATTTACATAATCATAATTTTTTCATTCAAAAACTAAATTTATTTTTTTTTATATTTATTGAATTTCAAAATCCGTAGTTGTAGGCTTCAGATTAAGCTGAATCCGATCGGGCAATGACAATAGTTGTAGGAAAAGACTCGACGTTACCACTATGGTCCTCGTGGGCCATATTTCGTCAGCTTTGCCATTCGGGATTACCACCGGGCCTCACGGTAACACGTCACTCACACTTCCAGGCACGTATCTCATTTTTAATCCGGATTATCCGGGATCCGTTGCTGGCATGGTCGCCGACATTTTTTCGCACACCACTAGACGACGACGTTTTCGTATTTGCCGAGTAGATCGGCCGATAATAAATGTCTGGTTAGATTTTTAAGGTCATTTTCACCACATGAAATTTATCTGTTAGATAAACTGATTTTTATGAAGACCAGTTGTTAATTATTGTTTTAGTTTTATAAGATTGGGGATTTATCCATCTATTTTGGTGTTGAAATGTTCGAAATCCGAGACGACAGATATTTGTCTTGAACCGTGCTAGGTTTAGACCCATGTCAATTATTGTCAGGGATCAATCCCACACAACTTAAGTTACCTAATTTAGTCTTCCTCTATTTCAGGAACGGCCTCGGTCAGCTGGGAGGAATGGTGGACGTACGACGGGATTTCAGGTAAGTCCCTGCGGCTCGATTACCGTCGAAATGGAAATTTACGTTACGGACCTTATCCGGGAAACGCCTTCTCCGAATTATGTTTCATCGCCTCAAGCGACAAACAAATTTTCTTCGAGAGAATTACCGCTCTAGCTGATTGCTGCCAGTTTCTTCCATAACCCTTATCTCGTCTACATTCCCCCACTCGCCCATAGATATACATACAAGTTTAAGTTTCGTGCCGCTCAAAAGTTCTTTATGTGGGTGAGTTGTAGGTTAAGCCTATAAGGAAAAACTTTTGCCACCGTAAAATCAATTTTCTGTCGCCGGTTTCGCAGTGGGAAGTTTAAAAACGCGAGTTCTCTAACATTTGTCAGTCGGGGTGACAATAACAATTTGTAACCTCTGGCGCCGTTTCTCCGCGCTAATATGACAGGAAAACTCCATAAAACTTGTCGAACTGTCCACACTTCGTAATATTTCACCGATAACTTTTCACAGTGGACCCATATGCTTTTTAACTTTTCTTTAAAACCTTTAGATAATATTCGTACTTATATACGACCTCTTAAATAAAGTCACATAATAACCGCTTGAAAATAGACGAGTAGCTGTCAAGAAAACCGAACAACCGGTAGAAAAGAATCCCATTGTTTAACGCGGATGTCTACCTCAGGGGTGACATTATGCAAAGTAGGCTTGAAAATGCAGAGTAGACACGGGGGCTCGAAGTGGTCTCGGAAGCTAGGGGACGATCCTGCTATTAAAGAGATGGACTCCGGACTACCTCCGACCGTTACGGAGAACAATCCTATTAGTGAAACGGCTTCCTGTTGGTGTTTAGGAATTGTATTTCTGATCGGGTTGGATTTTAGGGTAACTGTAGAACTCGATACAACATTTCGGCAAAACCCTCTACTTTAGAACCGAAATGATCATCTGTATATGAATAGATCCATCAAGGCGAATGAAAGATGCGCCCTCCCGCAAAAACCTATATCAATATTAATATCGACGCTCAAAGCCGAACTCGGATGGTGTTGATGCTTTGAAGTCGCTTCTTCCGGGAGTCATAAATCATGCGAGTTTTGAAAGTTTTTGAGCTTCTTTATCGGGATAAACAGGAAGATGCGCGTAACAGGTTCACCAAGACTTTTAGAAATAACTTCAAAATTTTTTGTAATAAAACTGATTTGATTTTAATACCTAATCAGTCAGGGTAATTGGGTTTGCTGTTATAAGTCAATTCAATTCGGGGGTTCCGTGAAATTAATTGTTAAATCGGACGCAAAACACCCCTAATCGAGGTACAGAACGGCACCTATCGCGTGGCGTGCAAGTCAATCAATTTCCGATACCGAGAAACGGCTGGGGAACGGCCTAACAGAAGCCCGCTCATTTCCTATCTTTCAAACGGTGATTGATGTGCGGCGGCGCGATGTCGGACGCCGCGACGCCGCGAAAATCGCTGACGCAAACCGTAATTTATATCCATTATTATCGAGAGGGGAGCTTGAACGTATGCGTTACGTAATAGAGTGCTCTACATTTAACTAGCCACTTAGAACCCATAGGCATCAGATTTCTGATGACGTTCATGACTAGATGTCAATTCAGTACAGTTTGTTGTCGAGAAAACAGATAATCGTCGTTGTCAACAAATCAATTTATTATCTCTGTATGCTGTATCGTGTTTATTCGTAAAATTGTTTTCTGCTTGATGAGTGACCTTTTTCTTAAGTTCTGCTAATTCAGAAGTTCTTTAAAAGTGGTTTTTCTCGTTTATTGTGCTTTAAGTTCACGTTTATATGGCAAACTGGTGACATAGTTGGACTCCTGTCTAGGTTTCCTACCTCTGTTAGTTTGTTTATGACAAGGTAAAGGGCTAATATCTTCTTTGTTGTACATTTTACTGTTCGAAATGTTGTTCCTGCAATGATTGCAATGATTGCAAAGTCAACACATCCCTTGGAGGAGTAAGTTTTATAATCCTTCGTAGCACTATAGGTGTGTTTGGTCGAGGTGTCCATGAAATGTTCTGCTGGTGTTCTTTCTCTTTGTCTTTCTATGACAAAATCATGTTCAGCAAACCTATCCCTGTTTAAGAGACATGTCCCAGATTTTCAAAATCCATTTACGGAAATTTCTGCTGTTGCAGTTTTTAAATAAGCAAGACAGAATTTATAGTACGGCTAGGATTTTGATTTAGAATCTAACAAAGAATGTAGTAGTCCTACAATCATTGTTGTGACAACGTGCCCGCACACTACGGCACATCATTCACCACGCCCAGTCAGCTGTTATAATGATCCATACGTTTGCTGTATATTTTTAGAGGTTAATAAAAGTAAATCAAATGACTATCATATAACCTCCAAAAATACACAGCAAGTGCATAGAACTCAATGACAGTTAACTGGGCGTGGAAAATAGTGTGACGTAGAGTGCGGGCAACCAACCCGTAGTAGGCTACAAAACAACAATAGATGTAGCAGTCCTGTTAGATTCTACTGTCGTTGGCTTTAACCACATTTGAATTTGCTTTGACATGAAAGGTCTAACTAGGGCTGCATTTTGTATGAGGTATGTGGTGGTATACATAATATTATAACGTAGTTTTTTTGCGCAATTTCTATTACGTCAATATTTCTTGTGTGACTATAGTGTACATCAAGAATAAGAAAAACCGGATCGTCACAAGATGGTTTAACAAATTGGATAAAATGTTGTAGCCATTGGGTGAAAATATGTTGTTGAATCCAACCTGATGGGTAATACGCCGAAATGGACCCGGGGGAAGCTCTATCTAGCAATTCCGCTTTCATATTTTTTCTGGGAAAAACGAATAAAGGTGGAACAAAACTCCCAGCCGGGTTCATACAAAAGACAACGGTCACTAGTGATCCTCTTTCAGCTGCAGTAACCGTTCCAACCTGCTTTTTGCCTTTTAAAGTGATAACGCGACAATTTTTGGACTGAACGGTTGTTATTCCACGTTGAATACTCTGGCAGGATTTTTTTGCATTTGTGGTTCCAGTAGATCAAAAAATGTATTTACATTGTTTGCGGTAAATCCTTTAATTCTGGCTTTTGATAAAACCCCTTCACCACTTCTTACCAGCAGCTCCAGTCTTATCAGAAAATGGGTGACGCAAACTATTTCTAATACCTAAGTGATCCATTTCCAAACAGTATACCACCAAATTTTCTTCTAATTCAGAAGAAAGAATCGGTTTTCTTCCAATCGAAGCTGCAACTAATTCGTCAGGACTTTTATGAGTTTGTTTAATATAATCTTCTAATGTTGATTTCTGTACAGCAAACAATTTAGAGGCTTTAAGATACTCCATTTCTTTACTTCTAACCGCCTTATATAATCCACCTTATGGCTATGTACTAAGAATTTATTGTATACAATAATCTGTCTACAATTCTTATGTATGTAATCTACATTACCTTATGGTTATGTATGTTTGTCAAAACAAATAATTAAGAGTACTAGAAATACCTTGCCATCCGAAATTAAGAAACCATCCAAAAATATGCGACTTTCCTCTAACTTTATTAAAAAAAATTTATTAAAGAAAGTAGTTTTTATGTCACTTTTGAATACTTGAATTCAAAGGATGGTCTATTGAGAATTGTAAACGACGAAGGATTTCAGTCTAGCTCAGCAGGTCAAAGGTGCAAGTAAGTTATATTGATGCGGTGGAAATTGTCATGAGGATTCGGAACCGATCGGCTTCGTCCTTTACCCCATCGGTCATACGTTGGTCGATCTTTTATTTATACACTGGGTCGCTTATTGTCGACCGGGCGACGTTACGTGGTCCGTTGGGAGCTTAGCGGTCACTTTTGTACAAAACCGAGTAAAAGCGTCCGACGTCCTGTTTGCTGACGGCAACGAGGCGGTGGCGTTGGAGGCTGGATTCACTTTATTCCGGTTTAATATAAACGTCAACCGCAGATAAAATCATTTGTTTCGCGCTAACCTATTGGTGCAGTCTGGGTTGTAGAGATTTTTGTTGGTCGTTTTCGACTAGAAGTGCTGTGTTATAATGGGGGCGCCGCGAAGCGCGCCTTTTCCGAGGAATAAATCCTGCGGACCTGCCCCGTATTCAGTGGGAACCTCAAGTGGCGCTTAGCTCGTTGCCGTTTTATGTGAATTTTAAATTTAAATAACACGGGTATAAATAAACAGGGGGCGCCCGCGTCGGCTGGAACCGGCTATTCTTCCACCACCCGGATCCGTACGTACAAGTGCATCGTTTGTGTTTATTCTTCTTTTCCCTGCCATGCTGCGGCAATAATTCTACTTACAACCGCTTCACGTTGATTCACAAAAACGCCCCCGCTTTAAACTTTAATTGTGGGTCGTTTGAATTTAATTTTATTCCGCCACCTGGCCGCGCGTTCCTTCTAAAACCCCTCATCTAGATTGTGTGTGCCGCTTGTATAATTTAGTCACTAATGCGAGACCGAAAGGGAGTTGGCGGGGTACTAAATGCGCTGCACTCAACAAATTTTAAATATTTTACTCGACGTCGGTTGACCGGCTTTTGCCTAGTGGCTTTGATGCATCCTCGGGAATATTCTGTTAATGGGGCGACTGAATTATTTTAAACCATAAACGCTTAACATTCTAAATTTAAGAGGTTAACCATTACAGATAAAATTTGATTATTTACTAGGTACTCATTAAATGGATATGAATAATGTGGGGATAATGTTCAGTCTCAAGAACCGCAAGAAAATAATTTGCACTGCGACTGTAATTTCGACGATTCATATACACACAACAGGAAACTAAGTGCACGCAATTGTGCCGAGATGGCGGAAGGCCATTCTTCACGGGCAGCGAGGAATGTAACCGCGAAGGGCCACCGGCCTCGAGAAGGCAACCCGCAGGGGCATTAATTACAGGAGAGAAGCGCCCCAAATGAATGTGGCGGCTTCCTTTATCTAGCCCAGGGCCAGAAGCCCCATTGTGTGACTCGACTCTGTCGCACCATCTACAC